TAGGTCCAGGGATGTGCAGAGAGTTATTCAGGGGCTGATATATGTATATATATATATATATATATAATTAGATATTATTACAAGTATAATAGTATATAAATAGTTCCCCCCCCAACCCGCTGCACATGCCTGCTTAGGTACATATCACAAAGTAAAAAAAAAGTAGTAGCACTTGCTCATTAACCTTTCATTTTTACTGATTTTCAAAAGTATTTTAATAAGTCATCCAGTGTCATTCTCCTCAGATGTGGCAAAGCCAAAGAGAACTACAGATTCGAGAGCTGCTTCGGCGTGAATGTGAGTCTCATATACATACTACTACTACTAATACTACTCAAAATATTGCACTTATTGTTCAGTCTTGCCTGCTTACAGATCCCAGATGAGCACCTAAATGGCTGTGTTATTTATCCCCATCCTGAGCAACCAGTCCCGACAGTGCTGAGGCCAGAGGGGACGGGTGTTCCTGAGACTGACTTCCTGCTCTATGTGTTCACTCACAGCACAGATAAATGCAGAGCAGAGGTAGACACTATGACTACTGAGATTAATGCTGGTTGCCATATAGTGTCTGTAACATTTTACATGCCTGTCTGTCTCAGTCTAGTATACTGGCTTATGCTGCTCACTGTCAGGCAGATTCAGAGGGGCGTCCTCTGGCTGGGACTATGGTCATCTGTAGAGAGCCGCTCAGTATGGAAAGATACACACATGAGCGCTATGTGCAGGTGACAGTGAGTGAGTGTGTGTTTGAGAAGAGAAGGTGAACTGCAGTTATAGTACAGTAGGAAACAGTGAGAATACAACATTCATTATTTGTAATCTTTGTTTTGGTACAGACTGTGATCCATGAGCTTTTCCACGTGTTGGGCTTCAGCAAAGAGCTCTTCAGCCGATGGAAGGATTGTTCTCTCTCCTCCCAGGGTAACTATGGAAGCTTGTTTTCGCCACAGAATAAAAAATAATTGTGACTTTTTATTTCACAATTTACATCTCGCAATTCTGACTTTATTTCTTGCAATTGCGTAATTAACTTGCAACTGCGAATTATAAAGTCGGAATTGTGAGATATAAACTAGCAATTGTGAGTTTATATCTTGCAATTGTGAGGGAAAATGTCAAAATTGTGAGATAAAAAATAACAATTATCTTTAAAAAAAAAAAAATTCCCCCCTGGATCTCGGAAACAAGTTTCCATAAGTAACAGAGCTAAATGTTTCTAAATTTTCTTTATGTAACTGAATAATTATCTTTTAGAGTTATGATGTTTATTGTAGCCCTGTTGTGCAGTTGCTGATAATTTTTGTTATTGTGTGTGTTATGAAGCTGGTGTAGACTGCTGGCCTTATGGTCGGGTGATCAGCACAGATGAGATGGGACAGGTTAGACTCTATTCTCCTACTGTGATCAGAGCAATGCAGAAACATCTCAACTCTACCCACGCTGACCTTGGAGCTCCATTAGAGAACAAGGTACCCACCACATACAAAACACTGATACAACAATTACTACATACTTTCAAAAGTTTGAGGTCAGTCATTTTTTTAATATTTTTTATATTAAGCAGAATTAATTAATAATTTAGCAAGGATGCATTCAATTAATCAAAAGTGGCATTAAATACAAATAATGTATGTTTTAATTATTTTATTATTTCAATCAAATAATGTTCTTCTATACTTTCTAAAATAATTTTTCTCAAAATTGCAAGATATACATTTGCAATTGCAAAACAATGTTAGAATTGAGAACTGACTTTTTTTCCCCTCAGAATTGGACTGTAACTCACAATTGCGAGTTTAAATCTCACAATTCTGAGAAAAAAGGCTGAACTTCAAGGTATATAACTGATATTCGGAGTTGTTCCTTGCAATTGTGAGTTCATATCTCACAGGTCTGAGTTTACATTTCGCAATTGTGACTTTATTTCTCAGAATTGCGAGTTAATATCTCACAATTCTGAGTTTACATCTCGCAATTGTGAGATAAAAAGTTGCAATTACCTTGTATTTTTTTTATTCTGTATCGAAAACAAGCTTCCATAAATGACTGCTAAAAGATCAATTTAAAATATATTAAAACATAATTTTTTATGTTTAATTTATTTACATCTATTTGAACAAAATACATAAAGAACAGCAATAATATATATTTCACAATAATACTGTTCTTACTGTATTTTGTTAAAATAAATGCAGCCTTGGTGAGCATTAAGAGACTTCTTTCAAAAACATTATGCAGATCCCAACATTTTTAATAATAGTATAAATCATGGCATATACATGACACTACAAAGTATTTTTTTTAAATGACACTACAATGATATTGTACAAATCGTACAGTACATTGTCATTTCCAAAAATCCATGGTAGTAATGCATTAATGGTGATCTGATATCCAGTGATTTGGTTATATTTTTCTTAGTGACTTCAAACCTTTTTTTTTTTAATTTGAGGGTACTTAGATTAAAGTACACACAAACAAAATGATGTACTGTCAATGTAAAGACAGTGTAAAATTTCAAAACCGGCTGGCTATTTACTTTGAATAGTATCTATTACTGTTTGCGCTTAATGTAAATAGCTGCTGCCTAATGTAAAACACAGATGATACACTCAATCACCCTCTCTGTCTCTTCCTCTCAGGATGTTGCTTCAGATGGTCTCTCATCACACTGGGAGGCCCGTGTGCTTCAGGGCTCCATCATGGCAGCTTTACTGGTGGAGCCGTCTCTGATTCGCCTCGATCCCATCACACTCGCTGCCCTCCAGGATACAGGCTGGTATTCAGTGAACTTTAGCCGAGCTCAGAGCCTGGTGTGGGGAGAGGGTAAGACATCTGCTATTAAACTATTTTGGTAGTAGACATGAAAAAGTTAATGTTTTTGATTGTCACGTGATCATGGTGGGGTGGGGTGGGGTCACGGGATTACAGTCACTTGATTGAAATAGGGGAAAGGGGGTGAGCAGGGACGATTCTATTCTTTTCTTTGTTGACCACTAAACTTAGTGGCCTACCATCAAGGAACGTCTATCCAATAAAGAAGTGCTATTAAAAGTTGTTTTTCCTCACAGATGTTTTATTTATGCGTCACAAGTGTATAAAATCCCTGTCTTAGTCTCTCAGCGGTACCATCATAGGATTGATTAGCCGCTATACCACTCTTTCGGCTTGTTTCTGTGTGTGTTTTAGGTGAAGGCAGTCAGTTCGGGTCCCTTTCTACCTGTCACAATTCTTCAACTTTCTTTTGCACAGACAGGTAATCAAACAAATAAAGCCTCTTTGAAAAATGACAGGTATTTTGACACTGATTTAAAGGAAACTATGTTTTGCATGTTTGAATGGTGGGCTTGTTGAAAAGTGAAAAGATTTAAATGGCTTTTCTAAAGTTGGTCAAAATAATTATGTAGAATTTTAATTATTTTATTTTTTAAGAGTATTAAATGTGATACATTAACTATCCACTGTCTTCCTCCCAGTGCATTGGGTTGTCATTACCTTCACTTCCACAAGGGGGAGTGTCTCACTGATCCGTACCTGGATGGCTGCCACATTTTCAAACCCTTGGCAAATGCTGTGAGTCTTATGTTAAGAGTTATTTTTTCCCTTTCACCGGTCCCTCACTTTGTTGTCACCTTAACAAAACTTCCCACATGATTATCAGTGTGTAATGTCTTTTCTTCATCAGAGTGAATGCTGGAAAAAGGAGAATGAGAGGAGTGGAATGAATGAAGAAAGTGGAGAGATATATGGCTCAGACAGCCGCTGTTTCATATCCAACCTCACCAGACCGGTACCACGTGTTCTCAAATTTATGTACAAACATATTTATAAATGTTTAAATATGACAAAGCTACAGTTTTCAGATATTTAGACCCACTAGTAAATGCTGTTTTAACGTTTTTTTAGAATCATTCATCCTCATCCCATGCATCAGTGGCAGGTCACTGTTACAGACACAGGTGCACTGGAAGAAACAAATATCAAATTCAAGTAAAGGATTCTGATTGGTTGGATTGTCCAGCAGGCAAGAGTGTTGAGGTTTGAGATAAAACTATAATAACTAACTATAATGACTGAATCATTAACACTTTTTTCACATCACTGGGCTATTTGTTATAACTTTCTGTCTCTAAATTTTATAGGTGTCTGGTTATCAGGGATTCATTTTCTGCCCAGACAACAGATTATGTAAATATTCTGATTTAGCTCCTCTGACATCAAGGCAAAAGGCAGATAACCTCAACATTAGCTCATCCATTGAGAGGTTAGTCTATTCCTTTTTCTTAAATTATTTTCTAATGTGATTTACCTTCATCACAATATGCCAGCAGTTACATAATTCAAAATACAGTGTAATTCTATGTCAGTTGAGTATATCTTTTCTGTATCGAAGTGATCATGATGTGAAGGAGACTGACGCCACTCCTCATCCCAACCTCGTGCCTCTCTCCTCAGTCACAGTGTCTAAACCAGAGATCATTGTGGAAACAGTGCTGAGCATCATGGCTGCTTTCTCTCTACTGTCTGCTGCAGTGCTCATCTACAGGAAGTGTTCATCAGCCAGCGTCAGAGTACATGCTGCCAATGAGCCTCCATTCAGGTTACAGTTTCCTCTCACACAATGCATCAGAAGGATCTGATGGTAGAACAATAAACATTGGAGACTAAACCGCTTTTTAATGGCAGCAACAGGAGTTTAGCAGGAGAAATATTTGATAAAACCTTTTATGCAGATAATTAACTTACATAAACCTATTTTGTAATTCATATAATAAAATATGTTGGCAAAGATGGAGTTGTGATGTGATAAGTGGATTTTAAAATGGTCAAACTTTCCTTACCTCAGGGAAAGGTTCTTTATTTAATGAAAATGTACAATGTTTTCTGGATTAAGGTAGCTTTTCTACATGTATATTCAGTAGATGTCAATGTATGTGTCATTATCATTCAAAGTCTTGTAAGATTTTTTAGGTGTACTTACAAAAATCACAGAAGAGTAACAAGAGTTTTTTTGGAATTTATTTAGTGAACAAGATTACAGTAGTATCAAATTATCAAAAATCTAAATTATGCAGTTACAATATAAAGCAAATAGAGGGCAAAATAAAAAGCTAAATTCAAAACAATTATAATTTCCAAACCAGTTTCTCAAACATTCCTTCCACCTGCCTGCTTCCACCGTTATTTGGAATCATTATTATAATAATATATTACTTATTCAACAAACAAACAGTAACGCCTGAAAAATTTCAGAGTGCTTTCAGATAACAGCCAGTGCTTTCAGATAACATACAGATATTTAATAAAATAGTTTATGTAAATTAAGATGGAATACAAGAAAATGATATAAGATGGAAAAATGTTCAACTTTACTGATGTAATATGCAGTAAATGACGCAAATAGTCACATGAACAAGCCAATCCACATAGAAATAATAATAAAAAATGTGTACGCTAATGAGATGGTAAAAGCATTTAGACATGTCTAAAATTCATCTAAAATTTAAGACCTCTCGTAAGTAAAAATAAGACTTTTTAAGGCCTTAAATTTACAAAATCTAATTTAAGACTTTTTAAATGCGCAGGAACCGTTAGGATTATGATACTAATTACAGCTACTAAACTGTACTTCTGTGATTATACTTTTGATGAGATTATTAGTTGAAAGATTAATGATTTTTTCTTTATGCTTGAAAAAATGTCGCTTTTATCCATTTTTGTAAAGGGTACATCCTATAGATCCAAGAGGATGAAAGGATTGCAGCAGCAATAAAAACATCATCCTGTTCTTCGCCCAGTGCTCAGGAAGAATCATCTGTGAAAGATCAGATGAGTAACAAACATAACATTTAGAACATGTATATCAAGTAAACTGGTATCAACATAGTGATCTCAGATAAATGTTTTAAACTTATTGCTGTAAGAAAACATGTACATTATCTCAGTACCTGACATCTCTCAGCGGAGTAATTCAGATCAGTGCAGAGCTCAGAGTTGTCTGTTTCCTCTTTCTCTTTATTTTTCTAATTAAAAAGATAATCAGATCAAACACATGCATCAATATAATATAATATAAATGTTTGTACCCTTAAACCCTGCATTGGATAATTAGTTTGGGAAATGGATGAATAACAGTTGTTTTATAATTATTAACATATTATAAGACTCACTTTGCTCATTTTCATTTTAGAGCATGTGATTTCTTCATTTTTCTTCATTGTGTTCTGGATCACCTGCTGCACAAGCTTGCGCATCATCACCTTCTTTGCCTGTGATGAGAGAGAAAAGACAGATGCGATGTGTCATCCAGTATGCTTTAATATTTATAATTAGCTTTTGCTGTTGATCTGAATATAAGATAACTTTACATTACCTTTTTCTTTTCACTCACATCTTCAACAGTGTTGCGAGTCTTGTGGCCTCCATCATTACAGGACAGACACACAGACGTATGATCATCTCTACAGAACAACTCCAGAGATCTGTCATGTTTCTGGATTTTTTTAGGATTCAAATTCACAACAAGGTCAATCATCATGACCTGCTTTATCTTTAGGACTCTACCATGAGGCTCCACTTTAGGCTCACAGCAAAAGCTCTGACACATCAGGATCTTAGATTGAGACAATAGGCGTAGGATAATGGTTTGAGTTCGCCACTGTTAAATAATTGTATTGTAAATTAAAGCATTTTAACATTAAATACTGCTCAGGTAAAGCCATTTCATCACATACCTCTCTGATTATCTGTTTGAATAAACTTTAGCCCTCCGAAAAATATAATAGCCTGTAAGCGAAGAAATATGTCCTCGTTTGTCCGAATATAGTTTCACTTTCTAAACAACATGACAACACCATGTAAATTAAAGTGTTTTATCCCCTAGCGGAGGGCTATCGCATCGGGAAAATAAATAAATAAATAAATAAAACAATTAGATGTTTTCTTAAAAAACAAAGTGTAAAGCTCAAAACATTATCGTGAACAGGTGATTAGCGTTAATTTGTTCTGTATAGTGAGAGAAATCTTCATTCTTTGCCCAAATGTATGAATTAATGTTGACAGAGTGATACCTCGTTTTAACAACGAATACATTTCTGAGGAAAAGTGTTTAGCTGCTGCTTAAATCTTTAATATAAACATGAGCTAACACTTAAGATACTTACATTGATTTACCTTATCCAGCTCTGACTGTGAACTAATCAAAGTTTAAGTGTCTTCAGTTAAAAAAGTTGTCAGTAGCAAATGTTAATGCTGCTCAAAATGATAATAATAATAAAAAATTAACATTTCCTGGTTGTTTTAATACCCTGACGTGATTGGACACACAATAGGGCCCTGAAATAATGGTATTATCTATTGTCTCAGTGTCATAAAAAACATAAAAATAATAATGTTAAATCAGTAATAAATTACAAAACGGTAATATGTTTGTGTGAATTACTGTCATGATTCGCCAATAAAACAAATTTAAAATTCATCTTTATTTGATATGTTACTGTAATGTTAGAAACATGATTGTAAAAAGAAATGTTCTGCAAGTAAAAAAACACTTTCATTATTTTATTACAAATGACAATAGTACATTTTTTCTACAAATGGTTATCATTGACTAAAATCCACTTATTTTTGCTGACAGGTGAGATGATCAGAGGGGCTGAATTTGTGTCTCCATTATTAAAGCCTGGGCTGAAGTAAGGATAGAGTTTTTCTGTAAAAGTCTGATCGGTGAAAGAGTAGATATGAGACCTGGCCTCTACATCATAAAAGGAGACCAGACCCTCCTCATAATCCACAAACACACCCACCTTCTGGGGCTTCACTTTCAGGGAGAGAGACACAGACTGACAGTCACAGGCCTTGTACTCGCCTCCATTCCTCAACCATAGAGTCCAGAGTCCATTCCTTGGACTCAGAGTGATTATTCCCTTTCTGATAACAGACTCCCTCGCCACACCTAAGTCCCACTCAGTTTTTCCTTCTACTTGCACCTCAAAATAAAATTTCCCTGAGGAGAATCCCTCCTTCCCCAGGACACTGGGACACTTATCAAACCTCCACGGATTGTCTGGGACAATCTGTCGTGTTTCTCCATATCCAACTTGTTTGTCATCTTCAGAAAAGAGGAGTTTTGGGTGTGCAGTTTCAGGATCCAAAGTCACAATCACTGAGACAGATCAGAACATGTACTTAGCAGACTGCATGTACTTGTGTAGTACAGGATTGCATTCACTTTTTCTTTTTGTTATTATCCCATTAAAACTTCCTGGAAATGTTTTACAATGCATGTCCATCATTTATATTAGCTACTTTTCAAATGTATAGATTGTATTGTTTTACACTTGTCCCAGACTTTCAAACTTAAAATATTTGTTATTACTTTAAGTAAAATGTGGTATATTTTAGATGCATGTATATCCAATGCTGGACATTGTTTGAAGACAAATTAAACTAGTGAGATTTTTTTTTTTAAATATAGTTTACACACCCATACATCTATAAATGTGAAAATGTTTGTGTATGCATGTTTAAATGAAGGGAAATGGCACAGATGACTTGTACCTGTACACTTCTCAATCCTCCTCAGCTCTGTGGAAACAATTTATACATTTGATTAGTCTTCTCTAAAGAACGTAAATAAGTTGTAGAACAGTACCAGTCATAGTTTTAAAGCATAATTCAATTAACATAATTCAATATAAAAATGCTAGAAAAACCAAGCAGTTTTTATTCCAATCATAACAGTGAGAAGCTCACCAGCTCCTGTAATCTTCACCATTGCACCATTGAGAAATTCTTGATGCTTTGATAGAGCTCTCCTCAGAGCGTCCTCCCTCAGAATAGCGTCAGTACTGATCCCAGTCCAGATCTTGGTGTCTAACGGGCTGCACAGGGATGGATAAATCTACAGCGAGAGAAGAGAGAAGTATGTTGAGTGTTGTCCTGTGATGTGCTGCGAGCAGACAGACAGACACTGACCTGTAGAAGGTGCAGGTGATCTTCAGTGTGTGAGAGCTGCTCCAGCTCAGTGTTTCTTCTCTTCAGCTCCGTGATCTCCTGCTCCAGCTCTTTAATGAGCTCTTCAGCCTGTTTCTCTTCTGAGTTCTGCTTCTGCTCCATCACCTCCAGCAGCTCAGACTGACAGCTCTCAATGGAGCGGATCAGATCCGTGAACAGCTCAACACAGTCCGCTTTCTCTTTTTCTGAGCTTTGCTAAATAAAGGACAATGTACAGTCAGTCTTAAGACATGGATACCAAGAAGATAAATAATTATGGATGTGACATGAATTATTGATTTGAATTAAAAAGGTAATTCTTACAGCTAACTGATAAATGAGATGCAAGGAAGAATACACTACAGACAGACAGATATAGAGATATTCTATTTTAACTATTCTTATCTCTATGTTTATTTATACCGAACTTTATATATCACAGCTCTTATTTTCACTTTGAATAAAATTATACCATTTTGACTTTTCAACTGTCCAATCAGTGACCATTTGGAAAATGCCTATACAGTAAAAACCGTAACTTGAAAAGAACATTGCGCTAGGATAGATGGACATGTTTGATAGTTGCCCAAAGCTGATCTTAAGGTAAACAGCAAATTCTTATTTTATTTAAAGGGATACTCTACTTTTTTTGGAAATAGGCTCATTTTACAACTCCCCCAGAGTAAAACAATTGAGTTTTACCGTTTTTGAATCCATTCAGCCGATTTTCTGATATTTAGAAGAATATCAGTAACCATTCATGGCCCTCTATCAGAATCCAGAGTTTTGGGAAGATTGGAGAAACTTAATTTTTCGCCCAAAAAAAAAAACGTAAGGGGTACCACTGTGGTTTTTTTTTCGGGCCGAATTTTTGAGTTTCAATATCTCAGCTCTGGAAGGGGCTAGAGCCTCCATTTTTGCACTCAGGTCTAAGTCTCATGGCCCTCTATCAGAATCCAGAGTTTTGGGAAGATTTGAGAAACTTAATTTTTCGCCCCCAAAAAAAACGTAAGGGGTACCACTGTCGTTTTTTTTTTGGGCCGAATTTTTGAGTTTCGATATCTCAGCTCTGGAAGGGGCTAGAGCCTCCATTTTTGCACTCAGGTCTAAGTCTCATGGCCCTCTATCAGAATCCAGAGTTTTGGGAAGATTGGAGAAACTTAATTTTTCGCCCAAAAAAAAAAACGTAAGGGGTACCACTGTCGTTTTTTTTTCGGGCCGAATTTTTGAGTTTCGATATCTCAGCTCTGGAAGGGGCTAGAGCCTCCATTTTTGCACTCAGGTCTAAGTCTCATGGCCCTCTATCAGAATCCAGAGTTTTGGGAAGATTGGAGAAACTTAATTTTTCGCCCAAAAAAAAAAAAACGTAAGGGGTACCACTGTCGTTTTTTTTTTCGGGCCGAATTTTTGAGTTTCGATATCTCAGCTCTGGAAGGGGCTAGAGCCTCCATTTTTGCACTCAGGTCTAAGTCTCATGGCCCTCTATCAGAATCCAGAGTTTTGGGAAGATTGGAGAAACTTAATTTTTCGCCCAAAAAAAAAACGTAAGGGGTACCACTGTCGTTTTTTTTTTCGGGCCGAATTTTGAGTTTCGATATCTCAGCTCTGGAAGGGGCTAGAGCCTCCATTTTTGCACTCAGGTCTAAGTCTCATGGCCCTCTATCAGAATCCAGAGTTTTGGGAAGATTGGAGAAACTTAATTTTTCGCCCAAAAAAAAAAAAACGTAAGGGGTACCACTGTCGTTTTTTTTCGGGCCGAATTTTTGAGTTTCGATATCTCAGCTCTGGAAGGGGCTAGAGCCTCCATTTTTGCACTCAGGTCTAAGTCTCATGGCCCTCTATCAGAATCCAGAGTTTTGGGAAGATTGGAGAAACTTAATTTTTCGCCCAAAAAAAAAAAAACGTAAGGGGTACCACTGTCGTTTTTTTTTCGGGCCGAATTTTTGAGTTTCGATATCTCAGCTCTGGAAGGGGCTAGAGCCTCCATTTTTGCACTCAGGTCTAAGTCTCATGGCCCTCTATCAGAATCCAGAGTTTTGGGAAGATTGGAGAAACTTAATTTTTCGCCCAAAAAAAAAAAAACGTAAGGGGTACCACTGTCGTTTTTTTTTGGGCCGAATTTTTGAGTTTCGATATCTCAGCTCTGGAAGGGGCTAGAGCCTCCATTTTTGCACTCAGGTCTAAGTCTCATGGCCCTCTATCAGAATCCAGAGTTTTGGGAAGATTGGAGAAACTTAATTTTTCGCAAAAAAAAAACGTAAGGGTACCACTGTCGTTTTTTTTTTCGGGCCGAATTTTTGAGTTTCGATATCTCAGCTCTGGAAGGGGCTAGAGCCTCCATTTTTGCACTCAGGTCTAAGTCTCATGGCCCTCTATCAGAATCCAGAGTTTTGGGAAGATTGGAGAAACTTAATTTTTCGCCCAAAAAAAAAACGTAAGGGGTACCACTGTCGTTTTTTTTTCGGGCCGAATTTTTGAGTTTCGATATCTCAGCTCTGGAAGGGGCTAGAGCCTCCATTTTTGCACTCAGGTCTAAGTCTCATGGCCCTCTATCAGAATCCAGAGTTTTGGGAAGATTGGAGAAACTTAATTTTTCGCCCAAAAAAAAAAACGTAAGGGGTACCACTGTCGTTTTTTTTTCGGGCCGAATTTTTGAGTTTCGATATCTCAGCTCTGGAAGGGGCTAGAGCCTCCATTTTTGCACTCAGGTCTAAGTCTCATGGCCCTCTATCAGAATCCAGAGTTTTGGGAAGATTGGAGAAACTTAATTTTTCGCCCAAAAAAAAAAAACGTAAGGGGTACCACTGTCGTTTTTTTTTCGGGCCGAATTTTTGAGTTTCGATATCTCAGCTCTGGAAGGGGCTAGAGCCTCCATTTTTGCACTCAGGTCTAAGTCTCATGGCCCTCTATCAGAATCCAGAGTTTTGGGAAGATTGGAGAAACTTAATTTTTCGCCCAAAAAAAAAAAAACGTAAGGGGTACCACTGTCGTTTTTTTTTTCGGGCCGAATTTTTGAGTTTCGATATCTCAGCTCTGGAAGGGGCTAGAGCCTCCATTTTTGCACTCAGGTCTAAGTCTCATGGCCCTCTATCAGAATCCAGAGTTTTGGGAAGATTGGAGAAACTTAATTTTTCGCCCAAAAAAAAAACGTAAGGGGTACCACTGTCGTTTTTTTTTCGGGCCGAATTTTTGAGTTTCGATATCTCAGCTCTGGAAGGGGCTAGAGCCTCCATTTTTGCACTCAGGTCTAAGTCTCATGGCCCTCTATCAGAATCCAGAGTTTTGGGAAGATTGGAGAAACTTAATTTTTCGCCCAAAAAAAAAAACGTAAGGGGTACCACTGTCGTTTTTTTTTCGGGCCGAATTTTTGAGTTTCGATATCTCAGCTCTGGAAGGGGCTAGAGCCTCCATTTTTGCACTCAGGTCTAAGTCTCATGGCCCTCTATCAGAATCCAGAGTTTTGGGAAGATTGGAGAAACTTAATTTTTCGCCCAAAAAAAAAAAACGTAAGGGGTACACTGTCGTTTTTTTTTCGGGCCGAATTTTTGAGTTTCGATATCTCAGCTCTGGAAGGGGCTAGAGCCTCCATTTTTGCACTCAGGTCTAAGTCTCATGGCCCTCTATCAGAATCCAGAGTTTTGGGAAGATTGGAGAAACTTAATTTTTCGCCAAAAAAAAAAAACGTAAGGGGTACCACTGTCGTTTTTTTTTCGGGCCGAATTTTTGAGTTTCGATATCTCAGCTCTGGAAGGGGCTAGAGCCTCCATTTTTGCACTCAGGTCTAAGTCTCATGGCCCTCTATCAGAATCCAGAGTTTGGGAAGATTGGAGAAACTTAATTTTTCGCCCAAAAAAAAAACGTAAGGGGTACCACTGTCGTTTTTTTTTTCGGGCCGAATTTTTGAGTTTCGATATCTCAGCTCTGGAAGGGGCTAGAGCCTCCATTTTTGCACTCAGGTCTAAGTCTCATGGCCCTCTATCAGAATCCAGAGTTTTGGGAAGATTTGAGAAACTTAATTTTTCGCCCAAAAAAAAAAAACGTAAGGGGTACCACTGTCGTTTTTTTTTCGGGCCGAATTTTTGAGTTTCGATATCTCAGCTCTGGAAGGGGCTAGAGCCTCCATTTTTGCACTCAGGTCTAAGTCTCATGGCCCTCTATCAGAATCCAGAGTTTGGGAAGATTGGAGAAACTTAATTTTTCGCCCAAAAAAAAAAAAAACGTAAGGGGTACCACTGTCGTTTTTTTTTTCGGGCCGAATTTTTGAGTTTCGATATCTCAGCTCTGGAAGGGGCTAGAGCCTCCATTTTTGCACTCAGGTCTAAGTCTCATGGCCCTCTATCAGAATCCAGAGTTTTGGAAGATTGGAGAAACTTAATTTTTCGCCCAAAAAAAAAAACGTAAGGGGTACCACTGTCGTTTTTTTTTTCGGGCCGAATTTTTGAGTTTCGATATCTCAGCTCTGGAAGGGGCTAGAGCCTCCATTTTTGCACTCAGGTCTAAGTCTCATGGCCCTCTATCAGAATCCAGAGTTTTGGGAAGATTGAGAAACTTAATTTTTCGCCCCAAAAAAAACGTAAGGGGTACCACTGTCGTTTTTTTTCGGGCCGAATTTTTGAGTTTCGATATCTCAGCTCTGGAAGGGGCTAGAGCCTCCATTTTTGCACTCAGGTCTAAGTCTCATGGCCCTCTATCAGAATCCAGAGTTTTGGGAAGATTGGAGAAACTTAATTTTTCGCCCAAAAAAAAAAAAACGTAAGGGGTACCACTGTCGTTTTTTTTTTCGGGCGAATTTTTGAGTTTCGATATCTCAGCTCTGGAAGGGGCTAGAGCCTCCATTTTTGCACTCAGGTCTAAGTCTCATGGCCCTCTATCAGAATCCAGAGTTTTGGAAGATTGGAGAAACTTAATTTTCGCCAAAAAAAAAAAAACGTAAGGGGTACCACTGTCGTTTTTTTTTTCGGGCCGAATTTTTGAGTTTCGATATCTCAGCTCTGGAAGGGGCTAGAGCCTCCATTTTTGCACTCAGGTCTAAGTCTCATGGCCCTCTATCAGAATCCAGAGTTTTGGGAAGATTGGAGAAACTTAATTTTTCGCCCCAAAAAAAAACGTAAGGGGTACCACTGTCGTTTTTTTTTTCGGGCCGAATTTTTGAGTTTCGATATCTCAGCTCTGGAAGGGCTAGAGCCTCCATTTTTGCACTCAGGTCTAAGTCTCAT